TGTGATAACGAATGAGCGGTTGCCTTAACCAAGGAACCAAGGGATCATGGCAGATCCATACATATCGACAAAAAATACCACTTCATCAGACACCGGGTAGAAGAGGGACTCCTCATAGTCAAGAGGGTATCGTTAGAGGAGAACCCAGCAGATCCTCTCACCAAGGGTCTAAGTATGGTTAAGCACTTACAGCATGCGAGGAGCATTGGTCTGAAGGATGATATTAGTTTTAGTGATTAGATAGATGTTTCGAAACTTGTAATAGATAAATGTAATTGACATTTGATGATTAATTACTGGAGATTTATTTATGAGTAAGTTTACTATCTTGTGTCAATTGTTTACTATTGTTTCACTTTTGCAGGTTTTACTTCCAGAATAATTAGATTATTCAAATTATTCATAGTCGATTATACTTTGGGAGTAAGTTATGAGGCTAGACTGTCATGAATTGGTTTGTAGATTTTCTAAGTGCTTAGACATAGCAAAGGTTTTCTACAACGTTCATGAGTACTTCTGAAATAAGATTTGAGTATTGGATTAAACCCACGCTCATGTGAATCACTTCATGAAATTTATCACGAGTGATTGTGAGATTATAATATTGTATGATCTTTAAACCGAGATATATGAGTTGTTTGTGAGATGGTTATGCATTGATAATGCGTAAACGCATCAGTAACTTGATGTTATAAAACTTGTTGTTGTGTATGATTTAACGAAAAAATAGTACAAGCATATAAGTCAAAGTTTATCTATTCCTTTTATCCTAAGAGGGTAAAAGCGATATCTTGGGCCCCTCGATGATTTTGTGTTGACTTATGTGTCGGTCCCGGTCAAGACTGAATTGATGTGTTCAACTAAGTTCTATGTCATACAAATCGGAAGTCGGGAAACAAACTACTGGACATAGAGAATGATTATGTTCCATGTCTTTGTCCACATGATATCTTGCAGAACGCAGGATTATATGATCCCTTATTTAAGGACACGTCATTGACTAGGTCAGAGTTCGACAGCGGCTTTTGAGAGCTACGATTGCTAATCGGATTTTGAATTCATACTTGCAGTTATAGTTATTAGACTTATCCAAGTGGGAGACTGTTAGATTAGGTGTCTAAGCTCATAACTATAATTTGTATGTACTTGACCCGATAGTAGCATGGTCCTTTTGGGTTGCCTTCACCATAGCAACTTGACAAGATGAATTATGAGAAAGAGGTTGATAAATGATTTATTAATATATTATAAGAATAATATATTAATTAGATATCATATTGTTTAATTAGTGTTGATCAAAAATTAATTTGGTGATCAAAAGAGACTGATTAAATATATAGGTGAAATAGGCCCATATGCTTTCATAGAGAACCCTAGCCGATAAGAGAATTAGTCCAAGGGGCCTTCTAGAAGGGATCTATAGATTGCTTAAGGCCTAAGTAGAGAATTAGGGTTTCAGTCTAAAACCCTAGCAACATAACTATATAAGGACCCCTTGGCTAGTTGAAATAAGCCCATATGCTTTCATAGAGAACCCTAGCCGATTTTAGGAGCCTTCATCCTCTCTCTCTTGTTTATCCTTTGTTAAGTGATGTTTGTGACTCCATTAGATGTGCAACAATTGAGGCACTAAGCTCTTGAAGGTCAAGATCAAGTAATCAATAAGAAAGGTATTCTTCTAACTCTTGCTTTATACATTGAATTCGAAAATTGTATGCTAGATTAGGGTTTCGCTTTGGATAAATTAATTTGCATGTATAACTTGAGGAAAACCTAGATCCAAAGCAATTAGGGTTGCATGTGCACCATAGGAATGTTGTTATGCTCAAAACCATCACTTAAATACTCATTAAACCCTAAAATCCCAAAATTGGGTTAGGCCGGAAAGCGCATCGCGCATACTTCAGAAAAAACGCTTTGTGATTTTGGGTTTAAATCACAAGTTGCAGTTTTCAAGAAACTAAATAGATAAGGTAAACACAGATACATAATAGGAAATGGTTGTTACATTTGGTGTGGATTGTACTTGTGTTGTAAGTGCTTAGTGTGAATGTGCCAAGGTGAGTTGTAAGTGTCGGTATATATGTGTTTAACGACCGAAATTTCCATACTACTAACGGGAATAGTATTCAGTCAAGATTATATATTAAACTAACCTTTTCCATTGTTTTAGGTTGAAATTTGAGGGCCAAACTGTAATAAAATGGTTCTTGAACATGTACATTGGTTTAGAAGTCATTTCGTGATACTTTGAGGGCCTGGATTGTAATTTACGGGGTATTTAATCAAGCATAACCCTAAAATCCGGGAATCAAACCCTAATTGCAGCCACCAAGCTTTCTTGAGAGGGGTTCCAAGTGACTTTAGCTAGTAGGAAGTGTAGGAGTGATCCAAGTGAAGAAGAGAGAATTCTTGAAGTATACTTGGTTGAAATGGTGTTGTCTTCCCTAATTGCTCTCTCTATTGTATTGCTCATGATTTTTACAAAGGTTAGTATCCAAATCCCTAACCTTATTCTCTATTTTGAATTGTTAGAAACATGAGTCGTTGGGTTTATGCACGAATGTGGCAATTTTTGATGAATGTCGAAATTTTGTACAACAAAATTTCCCCACTATGTGAGGGTTGTTGTGACTAACCTGTGCAGAATTGGACTATGCACTACAGAGGCAATGTTGGAGGAACTTGAGTCTAATTTCCAGGGACTCTGATATCAGCTTAATTTGAGTTTTAAATATGGAGATATCCTTAAAATACGGATCATTGGTCGGGCTCGGGAATGAACGTTATTTTGTACTAAAGTGGTGTTTTAAGAGTCTTGTCTTGTTCTTTGGGTTGTTCACGACTTCCAGGAGGTTAATACTGAATCAACAATATCTTTTTCTATATTTAGGTCATGGGAATTGGTAGGAATAAGTATTGGTTGATTAAAGCAAACTAGAATGTTATATGAAATATACGGTGATGTTTGACAATGTTAGAAATCTGGGCAGTTTCGTTAGCCTGCCTTTCATGGGCTGTAGAGGTCATTATGTTCTGAATTAGACTAAATCACCACAACATCAAAGTTTTAGGAAATCGAGTTTAGTTTCTATAAAGTCCAATATCATCCATATTGGAGTTGTAGATTATGTTTTATGCTCAAAACACTTAATGGGGGTCAATCTGGGAAATCCTAAAATCCTAATAAAAATGAGCATAAACCTAATTATAATACTAACAATATTGTTGTGAAAGTATTAAACATGAAAAGATCTAGTAATGTGTTTGTTTGTGTTGTATTAACGGAAAGCTTGTCACCTCAAGTGCTTGCGTGACTCAAAGAGGGAAAATGCATTTATTGACAACGGTGAGTTAATCTTTGTGGAATTTAAGTACTTTGTTAGGGAATCTCATATCTTAGATGGATTGGAATGAACGTAGGTTGTATAGGTTGCATGTACCCCTATTTTCATGATTTTTTATTGGTACTGTTGAATTCCTTACTATGTATGAGAATTTAGGATACATATATGCTAGATCCTTATTTTTTGATGTGAGAGGTGTGTTAGGTCCATGATAGAAGGAGTGTTTTGTGTTATTTATATGTGATGTATGCATGCCATGATTTCTTGGAAATATTTGTATATGATTTTTAGTACAAATCATGTTAGTGATGTGATAAGCCATAATGATGATGATATGTGCATGAATTTAGATGCGATGTAAAATGTTTTAACTTGTATTTTACTAGTTTGCATGCTTACATAAGAAGTAACTTGGGAAGTAATATTCCTTTAATTATAAAAACAACAAGCATGATTACTTAGCAAGGTTTAAAATGTAATTTCTTGAGTTATGAATTAATAATATATTAATAAAAAAGGGAATACACTTAGCAGGGTTAAGGGTAGCAACCTAGACTTAGTTTTGTATCCTATCCAGATTGTGAGGTGGCCTAATATGTTGGAATATACCTATAGGATAAGAGCTTAAGCCAAAGGAGATGTCAAGTGGTGTTTCTAGACAAGCACTCGAGACATGGTTCTTGCGGTGGGTAGACTGGAGTGATGTTGGCCATGCAGTGGGGATAGGGCAAACATCATGTGGGATACGGGAGGTGTAACACGGTGGAATTGGCACAACTTGTACCGGTCCTTAATGACAATGCATGTACTAGTATGTGCAATGTCGGAGTAGTAAACACAATGAACAGGGGGCAATGTTACGGGTGATAGTCGCACATATCCTAGTTCATTGGGTCATGTCGGTCACGTTAGTAGTGAATGAGATACTTGTCGTGGGGTCAATGACGAACATTTAGACCCGTCATAGGAAGTATTATTATAATAATTATAAAGGTGAGTAGAGGAGAGTAATTATTAATGATGAAAATGAAGATTAATACTATCCCGTAATATTATAGTGATGAATGAAGTAATAATTAGTAATAAAGATGAATAATGAAAAGTAACTAAAAGGCTCTAACGAATAATTATATTAATGAGCATTATTGTGATGGTTATGTGATGTATTTGATGCCATGATATTTGAGTAGTTGAATTCATGTTTATATGATGTTTCGTTTGACCCATTTGGGATATGTGTATTCCATAACATCGTACTTATAACTAGCTCACTTAGGATATGCTGACACTTTTTTTTTTCTTTTCTTGTTGTTTGCCTTGCATTTGTACAAGTAACATAGCTTTATGGCTTAGTGTGGATGGGGTCTTTTGGTTCGTTATTTAGAATTGCTATTGTGATAATGATACCATTTGGACACGTCATTTAGTTTTCATAACACGTGGTTTTTGAGAACTTGTTTTGGGTAGGTTTTATGAACTTTAATTTTGATGAAGGTTGTTTTTGGTAATGAAAGTAACATTGTGATGTTTTCATTAAATTCAAAATAAGACTTCCGCTAACGTATTCTGGTTAAAAAAAATGTTTTAAATAAAAGAAAATTTTGGGTGAAAAATCACGGTATTACAATGTGACCGAAGCTGGTAAGTGCTCTTATGCAAAACAGTTGGTAAGTGCCTTTAACTGTTTGTTTATCAGGATTATATGCTTAGATTCAATATCGATGACATCTTGGATGTATGCGTGTGGTAAGTGTGAAGTATATATTACTGATGTGTGATGTTGTGTTGAAATATACTAAGCTTCGTGCTTACCCTTTCCTTATAAACAACTGTTTCAGGATCTTCAAGTACCACATCAGGAAAAGGTAAATCGTGACTATACACATGGGCGTGACTTAAAGATTATTGTGGATGTTGACATTCTTTTACATTTAATTTCCACAAATTAAACTCTTGGTTTTGGAAGTAAACAAAATATATTGTCATGCTTATTATCAGTTAAAGTTAATGATTTTTGGTTAAATTGTGAGCCGAGTTTTGATGATGGCATTATGTAATTAATAAAATGTAATTTTTAAAAGTTTAAATTTATTGTAATTTTAGGAACATTTCATTTAGATTTGTATTTAACACCATATCTATCTTAAAATTTTAAGTAACTTAGATAACTAATTCAAAATCTATAACATTAAAATTATATTTATTTACACACAACAAATATTTAGATTAATGACTATATATATATATATATATATATATATATATATATATATATATATATATATATATATATATATATATATATATAGGAAAATATCATTTTAGCCCATCGAACTTGTCACATTTGTTTTAAAAGGTCATCCAACTTTTTTTTGCACATTAAAGGAAAGAACTCAAAGTTGACCATTTTAAAAAGTCCTTACACCCTTGATAAACGATGTCCTCGCTAAATTATCAATAAATGGTTACGTGGATGTCAACTCACTGCTTACATGGCAGCTGAGTGTGGTCTACTGTACAACCATTGGTCCCCAAGGATTGCCACATCGTCGATGGCCCCCGTATATAAGCAAAGCGATACCCTAATAGATCAATATGCCCCACTTTGTTACCATAATCAATTTCTCTTGGTCGTTCTTCCTTCTCCACCGAACACTCTTTAACTCCGATCATTTGCAACTAATGTCTCAATAAAGCTTCTCCCACAATGATGGATTACGCGAGTCGGATCTAGACATTCCACCGACCGAGTATGAGCTCCTTGCCATGGAAATCCAAGTGGAGTTGGAGCAGATGAGACAACAGATGCAGGCAGAAATGGTGGCGATGAGGACCGAGCTTCATGGGATGAAGAACATCTTGAAGGCGACGGTAGCGATTAGCATTAGTCTTTTTCCTGGTGTCGTTTGTGGAGTTTTCGGGTGTGGTGGGTTTGGTGTTTTCTGTTGGATGTAGTTTGTGGGTCGATGATGGCGATTTTAGGGTTATTTGGTTATGGATTTTGGGCTTTTTGGGCTTTTTTGTTGGTTTTTGTTCTACTCGCCATCATCATTGGATAGTATCATGATAGGGTTAAGTATGTAAGTATCGGTGGCATTTTGATGGCTTGAAACTATTTTTTGGGGGTTTTGGATAGCAGAAAACCCATTAATGTTGTAGTTATGTCCACTTTTGTATGAATGTTGTTTGGAATGTAATGGAAAATGTATGCTACTACGTTCTCATGTTATTTTTTAAAGCAATGGAAATGGTAGATTTGTGTTAAAGTTTGCGTTTTGATGTCAATAGAAAAAGTACAATCAAAAGTACATTGTTATTTTACGTATCTTAACAGCCAAAGTACAATGTTAATGAACTCAATGAACTCAATTAATAGGAAAATAAAGTACAATCATAGTAGAATGTTGTTTTAGATACTACCTAAACAATTGACATCAGTGAAACTACATAATTGTCACCCTTCAAAGTACAATGTTATTTATAGTATATAGATGTGAACATACAAAGCACATTGTTTTAAGGGAAAATGTCATTAATTTCTGTTTTAAACACACACTTACAAACTTAAAACAAACACATCTAACCATACTCCATAACCATAAAACTTTTAATCCACATCCATTGATTTGGATGAGCTATCTCCTTCACCATTTTTGCCCTCCGCCCTTTTTGCTAACTTTTTCTTGATTATCATCTCTGACTTTTTCCTTAGCTTCATTGTACGTTGTTGTTGACCCTTTTTTTACAGACCACTTCCACCTTCACCTTCAGCTTGACCCCTCCTCTTTTTCTGACCATTTCCACTTTCACCTTCAGGTTGACCCCTCCTCTTTTCTGACCACTTGCACCTTCACCCTCAGCTTGACCCTTTTCCACACCACTTACCCCTTCAGCTTGACCCTTTCCCTTCTTCAAACCACTTCCACCTCCATTTTCAGCCTTCTTCTTTTTTACCTGGCATTTTCGGGGCCTTGCCACTGCATTACAAGTTGACTTGTTGTGCCCTGCCTGTTTACAAACACCACATATAATCCTTTTGCCTGAATTTGATACTCTGTGAGATCCACTAACCTCTATACTACACCTCCTCCTCTTAACTATAGGTCTCCCTGGCATCTTCCTTTTCAATGGTGGTAATGGTGTTATGTAGTCTGTTGGGGGCCACATTACACTCCCATTCATACTTCCTATTGAGTACTTGTAGGTGTTCATATATATGCATATATATATATATATATATATATATATATATATATATATATATATATATATATATATATATATATATATATATATATGCAAGCATGATATAAAGGATCAACACATGACTATACATTTATGTTTACATAAGAAATAGATGCCACTAAATGGACACAACCATACCCATTCAGTTTCCATATCCTACAAGTACATGGTTTCTTTTCCAAATCAACAGCATATGACTCTCCTAATTTTCTTGTTTCAAGGGTATCCAGTCCACTAGGAAGCACTTTCCAGTACCTACAAATAAACACAGTTACAATGAGCTACTATGGTTGAAAAATAATGACAAAGAAGAACAAACATTTGTTGGATCTTCAATTCATTTATGGCAAGCCTTATGTTTGGACATACATCAAAATGTCCCTATCCACTACCTTTCTATCTCAAACTACACATTCTCTACATCACATATAGTCTAATATCCTCCAACATAGTAATAATTGGCTTCTTCCTATCATCCAAGATAACATTGTTAATGCTTTCAGACAACCCATTCTCAACAGCATCACACCCCCTTCCTATTTGAAAAAATGCTCTAGACCATGACTTTGGATTCCTTCCCATAAGATGCACATATGCAGCAGGGCTATTTATTTGAATCTCTTTCATTGTAGAATGGAAAAGAGGTTCAGCTGATGCCTTACAAGCCTTCCAAAACAATGTCTCATATTGAGCACTTTCTTCTTGAAGTTGGAAAGAACATGCTTGGCACATTGCCTATGTTCACATCTTGGAATAAATCCTTCACTGCTTCAATCATCCCCTGCGTTTACATTATAAAGACATTTAGAACTAGATCATATATGAAACACATAAAGCATGGCATAATGAACACAAACATACCTTATGTTGATCGACATCAATGTCTTACCATACCCACCTTCAAGATGCAGATCTTCTTGCAGATTTTCTAGAAACCATTTCCAATTGTCTTTATTCTCAACACAAACTACAACCCAAGCTATTGGGTATATATGATTGTTTACATCCTTCCCAACAACACATAATAACTAACCAGTACACATTCCTTTTAAAAAACACCCATCCAAGTTTATAATCCCTCTACAACCACTTCTCCAACCATGCTTTAGTGCATCAAAACAAACACACACACACACACACACACATATATATATATATATATATATATATATATATATATATATATATATATATATATTTATATATATCCTTCTAAAGTAAGTTTTCCCATCTGGCATAGAGTTAACAGATAACTTGATTGTTGACTCTAAATTAGACCTTCTTATCTCCTCACCATAGGATCACAACATCGCATAATTTTCCACTATGGTACCTTCGACAAGAGACACTACATGTTGCTTAGCTCTCCTACATTTTCCCATACTAACCTCCATGCCAAATTTAGTCTTTACTTCCTCTTTAGCATCCTAACATTTAATTTATGATTCTCAAGAACTTCCTTGATGAAATGACTACCAATCCATCTATAATTAACAATTGACCCTAACTTAAAATTCTTGGCACAATTATGCTCATTGATAAGGGACTTGATTTGGAATGAGTGCTCTTCACTCATCCATGACGCCCAGAGCCTAGATGTGCATTCACCATTACAACACTTCACCAATAACCTTTTACTATCATTTTTTTCAAAGTACAATTGATACCCATTAGCTACAACATATCTACAAAGCATGAATTTCAATTGTTTAGGGTTGGTGAACTTCATACCTAGAATTAGAAACTGCTTCTTCAAGGTATGTCTTCATTAAACATTGGTTTTCCTTTCACATCTCTGGGAAATTGTAATCTTCATCTTATTTTGGATTTTCACCTTCTGTGGCGTCCTCATATTCATTTGCCTGACTTACTCCTTCATAGGTTACTCTTTCCATGCTGCTCTGTTGTGGACTCATGAACTCAGTTAGGTTAATACCTTCTTCCCTTTCGATTGACATGTTTGACATAACATAATAATTATCCTCAGTTTCATTTTCCTTAGTAATGTGCACAGTAGTACCATAATGGTCCATGTAAATAGGCAGTTGTACTCCACACCGATAAGCAACGTCTAAAACCTCTTGATATTGAAGTTCATTAGAAATCAAGGTTAAACCTTTTGGGATTTCTAAATCAGGTTGACAATAATAAAGCTTCTCACACTTCTCTTGTTTGAATCGTTCAAGAAACCCCAAAAATCCAGTATAAGACATACTAGCAAAATCGATATTCTTGAACACATGATGAATACCATCAGAGTAGCAAAAAGGTTTGTTGATGAACACAACTTGGAAATGAACTTTGATCAAGACGATATAGCCATTGACACTCGACAAGAACTTTGGTGGGTGGTAAGGTTTTTTTGTGAATGAAGATGATAAGAGTGAAGAACGACAAACGAAATAGGCTTATTTAAAACAATTCAAACAAAAGGGAAGTACATGTGGACATTTCATTAAATGACATGGCACCAACATTTCTTATGTGGCACGTATATTACCTTTGAACCCAGTATCAGGTCACATAAAGGTATTTTAAAACAAGAAAATGTAAGTTCATTCCCTCAAAAAATTGGTCATTTTATACTAAAATTTCCATCAAGTGTTTATTAAACATAATATATAAGTTCTAAAACATTTGAGTACTTAGATCATTATTAAGAAGACTTTTGAATTGTATTAGTTAAAAGGTGGAAAATTCAAATCAATATGGTTTGAACAAAAATGTCTCTTTTATTAGATATTTTCTATACATTTTGAGTTTATTATCATTATTAATTAAACAAAGTAAAAATATCATGATAATAATTTAAACTAGTAGCATTAAAAAACATATTTTACAACCAATTTAAATTAATAAATTAAGTATATTAAGTTTAAAATCAAACAATTAATATTGAAACTAGAATTAGAAAACAAGTTTAATATATTAATTGAAAGAGATATTGAAATTTTTAGAAGTTTTAAATGATTGTGATTGAAATAATAAATGTTTTATTTATAAGATATATAGATTGATAAATAATATAAATGTTATCTTTCAATAAATCAACACAAACAATATATTTTAATAAAATAATTAAAGTACGTTTTAATTTTCTTTCATGTATATTTAGATGTCCTTACAATACAATCCCTTCATAATAGATTTAACAATAGGTCTTTGTGTGTCGTGTCATGAGTCATACAAATTTTACACAACAAAAAATAGTAAAACATCATTGCGAAACGAATTATAAAATATATAATAAAGTTTGTACACGAATACCATACATTTTTAACTAAGACAGCTCGTAATTAATCAGTGTAACACATGATATGGCATGACACGAATACAATACATTTTTAACCATTTAAGTGAAATCACAAATTTATACATAATTTTATAAACCATTGTACACGAATCTATATTCGAGTAACCGTAATAAAATTTGTTAAGCTCAAAAACATATTCCGGCATCCAATAACTTAGAAATCTGCTCATTTTGGAGCTAATTAATAGCATCAAAGCAAAAGAAAAAATAACAAACCAAAAGTTATTAATCCAAACTCCAAATCCCGAATTAAATTCACAAAACATTTTAACATAAATAATTACAAATCAATAACTACAACCAAGACGATCAAATTAGTAAATGATGTATCTTGTGTATCAACTATATTTATAAAACCTTTAAAACAACTATTTATGTTAGGCACGTTAGGGTTTAATCAAGCGGAGAAATTTAAATTTTTATAATAACCGTGTTTGTGTATCTATGTGTGTTTTACACAAATTATGTGTCACACAACAACTTTTATATACGTTTAAACAATTAGATTTGTGCACTACTTGTGTAATACACATGTCGACATGTCTAAACACAAAATAAGAAAATCATGATACGGAAACTATATAATGTATTTGCTATCATGTCAATTATGTAGTGTATCGAATATCTGGATCTACCAGATATTCTACATTGTCAACATCTATAAAATTATGTTAATATTTTTTCAAATATAATAATTAACTAGTAAAGAAACTTGGGCTTCACCCCGGGTCGGTTTTATACTGGCCACCTATTATTTCATTTCATTATGCCCAAAAAAAATAACTAAGAACGGTACTTACTGCTTTCTATTAAAGCAAAAAACTTCAAATAAATTCACCACTCACTTAAAATTGTTTGTGTTCACCCATCTGAATTAGTATAACTTCAATACTTGATAGTGCTTCATGATTCTCTACCTCTCTGTTCATCACAAAACCCCCAAATTAATCTCAATGAATAATATCCTTAAAAACCACATAATACCAATGTACTTTAATAGAAATGTACTTACATTTACTTTTACCAATAATATTTAACCTATAATAACAATGTACTTACATTTCTTTTTACATACTACTAACATACATATAATTCCTTACATATACTTTCCTTTCTTTACCAATCAATTATTGCAATAAGCAATATATAAAATACATTGCCTTTATTGATACAAAAAATACAACTATGTTGCTATTATGGGAAAACCAAAATTAAGTAGGTTGCCAATATTGGTAAAAAGAGTAAGTAAAGTACATTGCTTGCAATTTGCTATAATAATTTTGAAAGAGAACACATACTTGCATGTCTTTTTGTTGTGGCCCAAACCCTTGCATTTACTATACTGCATATGCCTTGTAATCAGCTCAAGCGACCCCGCCTATTTAATTTTTCCCGCCTACCTGACTTGCCTAGTGGACGTTTAGCAGGAGGAGGTGTCACAACAACCACCACCACATAATCACCATCTACTGGACCTTGACTTCCTTCCACATCAGGTATCAGATAAATTGACTCCGCATACGTTTTCCTATAACTTTTAGGTATATGTTACCCATATCAAAACTCTTGTTCCTTGTAGTTAAGTCATGCAATGCCTTTACACATATATACATCACATCAACACAACTGATCCCCATAAAAACTCATGTTTCCTTGATAAAAAATCAAAGCTCGTTTTCTGTTTTCTCTTAGGTTCTTCCTGAAATTAATATAATTATATTTTATATTTTATTTTATATTTTTATGTTTTATAATCATAATTTATAAACTCACCATTAATGGACCGGGCAAATTAATGTGTATCCAAGGCCTGATCTTCTTAGGGAATCCACTCCTGCATATGAAATATATATAAATAAATAATAGTTTAAACTTTAAAAATATTAAAATTAAAAATAAAGCCCATGTCAGCACCACATAGGTATCAACTGGTTTCCCCAACTATAGCAGGTTACAATGGCAAGATAAAACCAAAATTGTTGTTTATTGGCAACGAAATCACTTTTATAACTTTGATGAATTAAAGAGTAAATCGGTCAGAATTGGTTGTTATTTCTTACCTTCTTGGCTCTCAAAATACTTTTCCTTCTGCTACTTTCAATTCCTGAACCTGTACACAAGATAAAAAGATAGGAAATCGGCCACATTAAAATTACCTTCTAGGGAAGTTTGTTTCAAACATCCCAAAATCCATGACCAAAAATTTCATTTTTAAATTATAAATAAACCATAGTTATTAAAATCATCTCATCAAAACATAAGTCATAGTATCTCAAAACATCGTAAACGGTATATCCATATCAAAACATATGTCAAATATATCAGAGTAAACATCCCAGGCTAACATCATGGTGTGTGCAAGGCAGTCATCCTGAGCTCTTCCCTTTACTACCGGAAGTACCTGAAACCAAAATTGAAAACCGTAAGCACTAATCTTAGTGAATTCCCCCCAAACTACCACATACCATACACATAACATGCAACTAGGAGATACAGGCCCCAGCAACACTCAAGGAGATTCGGGCCTAGCCCACACTCGGATGACGGGCCTCGACCTATGATACACGGACCCCGACCACACTTAGTGAGATATGGGCCCCGCTTACACTCAGCTGACTAAGAGATACGGGCCCCGCCCACACTCGGATAACTGGGAGATACGGTCCCCGCCCACACTCGGCTAATAATGTGATACGGGCCCCACCCACACTCAGCTAATAATAAGATACGGGTCCCGCCTACACTCAGCTGACTAAAAGACACATACAAGTATCACACAGACAACATGTATAACCAAAACATACCAATCCATTCCATATCAATACTCAAGTAATGCTAAGATATGGGCCCTGCCCACACTTAGCTACTAATCAGCACAGATACTATACACGGGCCGACATTGGTCCCTTCGACCCGTTCAATCCAGGAGGAAACTCACCTCAAATGTCGGGTAATAGTTGAATCGTCTCTGCCCCGAAATCGGCTCTACCCAATCCCTGAACCAAAACAATCCCTTAGCTGCCATCTCATACATCTAACTCTTTAGGGTCAACCATGGTCAAAGTCAAGTCTAGGTCAAAGTCAAAGTCAACGCTCCGAGTTGACTCAACTCGTCGAGTTTACTCTTCAACTCGTCGAGTTCGCATAAATCACAGAATCGTGAAATCGCGATCCAACTCGTCGAGTTTTGCTCCAACTCGCCAAGTTCTTCCTTTTAACAGACTCAGGATACTTTGACCCAACTCGTCGAGTTCCTCTATGAACTCGTCAAGTTCTTCAGTCTGTTAGCCCTTCTTAATGCATTAAGCCCTTATTCTTTAGATCTACACTCTATACTCCAGATATAGACTGGAAATGCTTCTAGAAGGGTAAAGTTTCCAACTTTACCCATTAATACCTTTCCTAAATGGATTAAGCCCAAACTCTAACCCAAAAAGGCCAAAGTCTTAATCCAAACACCACCAAAACTACAAGATAGAACATGAGGTCGTAGATCTGGACTCTAGGGACAAGAATATCATGTAAAGTCCCAGAATTCTCCACATGCATGGCCATTAGAAGCTCCAAAAGGCCAAAATGATGGTGTAAAGCTTGCATGGGACTTCCATGGCCATAAATTTGGCACCTTTATGCCATGAAAACCCCTCAAAACCTTAGATTTGAAGTGTAAACCCATTCGGGACATCCAACTCCCAATGACCATGATATTTGGACCAAAACCAATCAAAATAAGCCTAAAAGAAGATCTAAGCAACTACAAAGGAAGGTACAAACTTTATACCAGCAAAATACCATTGATGAGGCAAGGATTCTGGATCTACAAACTCCTTCTTGTGTCCTCAAGATTTTCCTTCTTCCAATGGCTTCAAGCACACTCTAAAACACTTTAAATGGCTCACA